GAACATTGAACTCCTTGACTAATACACGTTCATTTTACTCATCTTCTAGTGACGTTGAAACCTCTTCTTGTCTCCTTCTGTGTTTGACTTTGGGACGCAATTTGCTTCGCACAATGTCTCAATAAATAAAAAAAAAAAAGTATTTAAAAAGTGCCGTCGTACAAAGGCAAATAATTTTTTCAAGCAAATCGGAGTCTGAAGTGCAACCACCCTTTGATCACTTGAGCTGGAATGCCTCAACAAGGAGTCTGTACTATGTGTATATGTGTACTATGTGTGAACAGTCCCTATGGAGCAAGACCAATGACATTCAGTGGGAATCCCGGGCCTCATGGGAGCAAGCTCACCCATGTTCTGCAGAGGGATTTTCCTTAAGAAAATATTAAAAAATCAGGAGTGTTCTGAAGTGCTTCTTAAAGTGAAAAAGAACGGAAACCCATACTGAACGGATTGGTGCGGACTTAAAAGTGATAGATATGGATATAAAAGCCGGACAGCAATGGATACGCAGGAATATTCCACATTCTTCTATATCATTCGACTTTTCCATAGAATCACGATTCCACATATTCATCGGTCAACAATATACAACATTTTATGACATGGAGATATTCATGACCAGAGGGAGATTGCAAAGTAAGTCCTGTCATTGTTTTTTAGGAACGTGAACTCATGAAGTGGCCTTCGTAACGGCATCAAACTCAAATCTCTGAAAAACAATGTAGGCAAAAGGCCTGGAACATAGGATCTTCATTCTCACAATCGATCTTCTTCCATCGGATCTAGATGTTTTTTTACAGAGACGAAGGCAACCTCCAGTAAGCTTGAGCTTGGCCCTCAGACCATCAATAAATCCCACCCAAGGTCAAACATTTGACAAAGTTGGGACTCATTTATTGAACCTGAACTCCTTGAGCCATGGTCAGTTGTACACTATCTTTTCCAGAGCAAAAGCCAAGAACAGCGTTAAGCCAAGATCTTCAACACAGGGAAATAGGGCACACCTCTGACACAATTCAGGGAAGTTTTCACTCTTAATCCTGTGTATGAATAGATTTTCAAATTATGACTTACAATGGTCTACCTCCTAGCCTTGGTTCATGGACTGAAGATTGGACACAGGCAGGGTGCTCAAACCAGGATTATTAATCAAAGAAACACATTTTCTTTTTAAAATTCCCCCCATACTAAGTTGCCTAAGTCAAAAGTCACCAAAACGCCACATGCATACATGGGCTTTCGACTAGTATGTATGCTACAATATACTATATGCTTTGATAAGGCAAAATCTGCTTTGATGATATCACTTCATTTGCAATCAATCCAATATTACATCAATTTGTATCTTTCAAAAGGAATCAGAGGGGGGGTGGCCTCCTTGGCAGGAACAAAAAGAAAAATAAACAAAATGCAACAAACATCATTCTGGGTTGAAAAACAACATATAGAAAATATATAAACTATTCAACAAAAAATAGTGCCAAGAGTAAGACACCAGATGATGTTCAAAGGATTCTCTAATAGGTGTACAGTATTATTATGAGACAAGCTGCTGTTGAAAAGTGAGATGTATGAATCATGTCATTTCATGCTCAAGGTAGATGCCTATAGAATTAAAAGACAAGGGAAGCAGTGGTCTGGAAAGAATGATAAGAAAAAAGAGACATGGTATAAAATTTAACACAGAGAACATTCAAGTCACATAAACCATAAACACATCATATTTAAAGGCTGAAAATATATAATAAAATGAGAAAATAGGCACAGGTAATAATGCCACAACATCGTTTTGAAATTACCATCCTTTCACACAATCAAGAAGGCTCAATTGTTTCTGAAGGCCTTGCTAGAAACTGAGCCTAAGTAAATGCATACACTCCAGCCCTGACCATGAACAGTTGAAAGGACTTTTGGCACTAGTATATGAAGTTGAGTAAAGAAGTTTGAGCATGAATCATCATTGTCATAACTCTTTGAAGGTAACATACAAGAGTTTATGCTGAACACCTAGACTTTGGTGATTCTCATTGCACTAATGAATTCTAATCTCATCTGTTCAGCATTCCTGACACTGATAATATAATATTGGGAAATGCACCATATAAATTCTACAACCTTATATCTCACAATGGTGGGAAAGGATTCCATGATTCAATGATAAATAATTACTTAAAATAGAATCTCGTATGATCTTCAAGTTATCACAATTCCAAGAAGGGAGAAAATTAGAGCCCTGCAAAAATGTTTTTCATTCAAGATGAAGGGCTTAACCTGAGCTGCGATCATAATCAGGAAGACAATGTCCAACCAGGGCTTTCAAGAACGGGAGTAATGTAAGGGGATATTTGCAACACATTGTTCTAAAGCCACAGCAGCCAACTCCTGCAGCCAATCTTCCAAATGCACAGCCACCATAACTACTCCCTGCAGCTGTGAGTTCCAATCACTTGGCTGCATCTGCTCTGTCACTTTACTCCATCTGTATAAGGACATGATTATCACACAATAATCATATCCTACACATCCAGAACACACCATTGAATATGTTTACTTACTTGTACCCAAATCCATCAGGCAGATGCTGTAAGGTATGACCCCTTTTGGGGTGACGGCTTTCTTTATGTCCTCCACCAGGGAAGAGCCTCCCCAGGAGACTGGACTTTTCTGAAAAAAAAAAAAACCCATAGAGAAACACTTGTCACAATGGATTTGCCTAATTCTGTAGCCCTTGCATGAGGGATATATGGCAAAATGTTTCATACTTCCATCTGACTTCACTTTGTGGCCATCAGGTATGACATGGGATGCTTTTGTAGGAGCACATGAAGAAATGCTACCAAAGGCCCGTCGACAATCATTCAGCACCCCTTCTTGAAGATGCATTCCATTAGTTGTGGCATCTATCTTCTGCTTCAAGGAACCCAAAACCTGGGAGATACAATGCATCCCATGATAAGATTTATTCATGGTCAGTGACAAGAGGCCTGACTAGAATTTTACATACTTGGGTGAGGCAGCGAACTGTAGGCTGATAAGTAAGTGAAGAGCTGAGTAGAAGTGCTCGTAGAGGTGGTTGGGGAAATGCAGCCAGACGTGTCAACAGCTTCGTCAGCTGAATGTTCACATGAATGTCATTATTCAAGAATCCTTCTAATTTGGTCATTAAGGCAACCAGAAAAGGACCGATTGTGGGTACAGATTGGAAGGGCTTTGCTGAACTCAGAGGTGATATGGCACGATCAGCATCCCTTTCCTCAACGCCATTCTCATCTGGAGAATCAGAGAGCTGAATAGGGTCTTCATCATCACTGCTGCTGCCTCCTGGTTCCATTTCATGGTCCCTGGTCAGATCTATGAGACTGCAATTAGTCAGCATTTCCTCTAGATCTGAGTTCACAGACCCTCTGTCTTGGTCACCAATTCCTAGCATTGTAGCTGCATCTTCAATCTCCTTCAAAGTCTTATCTAGGTCTTCAGATAATAAAAATGGGGAAAGACTGGCATCAGATTGCTCACCAACTCCAGAATCTAACCCATTTTCTCCCAAAGATCCTTCAGTTACAGAAGGAAATGGCTTCTGTGATGGAAGAACATTTTTTCCAACAGGGGTACTGCTAATAGGCAAATTCTTTGATGTGCCAGTAGAGTTCTCTTGGGACAGAATGAGTCGCTGGCTATCATTGCTCAGAACCACCGATTCTCTGAGGACAGAATCTAGTTCTTCAAGTTTTGGTTCCTTGCCATCATATTTGTGTTTCCAACTTTGACATGCTGAATTGCACTTTTGAACCAGCATCCCTGCATTTCTCAGGTACTCTGCAAAGCGCATGCCTAAGTCTACAGTGCCGGGTGGTGTCCCAAAATGGGTTTCACTGACATGCCATGGATCTGAGGCAGATAGTTCTGTGGGAAGTCTGGCAGGGAGTGAGGGAGTTGGGGATGGATGTCTCTCTAAACCTGGTTGATTTGATTCCTCAGCACTACAGCAAGCTGGGACTAGACTCAAGAGTTTGCAAGCTTCTGAGATGTCAAACTCAGAAATCTTGTGCCTTTGTGATAGCATCACATGGTTCTGAGGAATTAAATACCTGCAATGAAAATTAAATACTCAATCAATACTCACTGAATAGAATACAGGGTGATCCACAAAAAGATACCTGCTTTGAATCAGCTATATTTCGTTGACCAGAGAAGATGCATCTACCAGGTTTATGTCAACTTACAACACAGAAATGGGAATTTCTTTATTTACTACCTATCAGTGAACATGCACATGCCCTGCATACACCCTGAGCATGATGCTTCAGATACACTGAGCATGTGCACCATTATGTAATGTTAAAGCAAACTCCAGTAACTGGGTGGTAAGTTTTCATAAATCAAGTAGGGTAGGTGAGAAGTCTGCCCCCATGCTACATAATTCAACATAATAAATGCTAGAGCCTTTTTCAACCAAATTACACATATGTCAGGTCTCAAAAACATGAGTTGTCCATTCATGTTTTCAGGAGTGTGTATTTTCCTCTTGGTTGACATAGATCCAAAACACAAGAATTTCAAACCTTAGGTAGGGTAACAGATTTTAAGCTTAAGGGGGTCAGAATTTATATCACTTACCTTATATACAGGTGGCTCTGGTCAATAAAATATAGGCGATTCCTATCAGGGATGTTTTTGCAGATCGTCCCATAAATGGATGTCTCAGGGATTTGAACCACAAAATTAGAGATACAAACCGGAAGATGAGATCCAGCATAACATCTTCACAATTGAGATTGACAAGTGAATATAGAAGAGAGAGGTTGACAAGGCACAGCCATTTGGAAGGACTAGGTAGATTGATTCGGGCAATGATGGTGTCAATGACCCGCATATTCTCATAGTGACTGGAGAGGGTGAACTTGAGGAAGATCTGCAGCAGCAGTGGCTCAGTCACTGTCCTAAGGATTAGGTCCATGTAAGCTGTAGCTGCCACCAACTCTTCATGATCGATCTGGAAAATTCACAAATTGGGAAAGAAAATTTATTTACACCTACTCATGAGTACTAAGCTTGAATTAGGCCTATTTATGCTCACTAGATGAAGAGCTGGTCCCATCACGGGAATAAGGAAGCCATGAAACAAAAACTCCAGCAAGTGCTTCTGGATGAGTGGGTGTGATATTTGGAAGATGGCGTTAGTGAATTCAACTGAATTGAGAAATAGCCGAAGTTCAGGAATGGACTCCAGATCTTGGTGTGTGAGGCCATGCCATGACTCATCATGGACGTCGAGCTTCCGTGGCAGGGCAGAATACAGGCCACTCAATCCTGCAGCTAGCACCTATAGCCAAGAGATAGGCTCATAGGAAGAGCACTTTAACTGATTATTTCAATTTGAATCAAGATCACTCACAGGGCATAGACTAGAGTGTCTGGCAATGTAGCCAGCAATGGCTTCATTCTGCCGTGAAATAGCCATGCATAAGAGCAAGGCATCTCGAGCCTGCTGACCAATGCTCCCCTCTCGATGCACAAATGGGATCAGGAGAGAAAACAGAATGAACCTAAAAGAATGAATAGAACCAAGAATGCATGAAGTCTTAGGTTTAATTCAAAGCCATACTGTGGTGCAGTTAATTTCATACCTTGATGGGTCCTCTTCAGGGGTGACATTGAAAAATTCATTGAGGAGTTCCATGTCCTGCATAAGTGAGACACACAAGTGATTTAGGAGGATAACAAGCCTGCGATCAACCTCAGATGACCCTGTCTCCTTGCAAGAGCTGATGAGAGTGAGCAAAGGGCGTAGGAGGACCTTATGTCCCCATACTTGCAACTTAGAGATGTTGAGGATATTTTCATAAATCTTTAGCTGCTCCAATTTCAAGGGTATGGCCTGTTCCTCTGGACACTCCAATGTCCACTCCAAGATGAGTCCCAGAATGTCTTCCATCAATAATGTACTTAGTATGGGACCAGGTTCTTCTTTGCTCAAGTGTGCATCCAAGGCCACCAGAAGGCTGATCTGTTCTAAGTTGTTGACAGCCAAGCACACATCATCTGTTGTGATCTGTGCTCCCTTGATAGGGTCCTACGAGAGAAAAAATAAGGTTAGAGTATATGTTTTAGCTAACTTCTGTACCAAAGGTAATGGGAACCTTTAAACTGAATAATTTATTTGACAATCATCGCAAAATATAGTTAAAAAAGCTGAACAAAGTTCATGAGGACATTTTTGTAGCTAAACATGTCCACCACCTTTACCACTATAAAGATGTAATCAGCAGTCCATCTCAAAACATTAAAGTCTAGTGTACCATATTCAACACTTTGAATTGCACTCCACTGCATAAATAATTACAAACAACACTGCTTAAAAACTAAACTTCAGCAGTATTCTTATGAGATTGGATGGTTCCCATACTGGTCCTGTTGTTCTCTTGATGACATCCAAGACCTGATGCCAATGCTGCTGAAAGCTGGAGAAGCAGGCATTTCTATCTGGTTCATCATTCTCACCAGTCTTCAAGACATCCACTCTGCTTCTCGCACTGGATCTAAATGGATTGCCTTTTGAAAACAAACTCATCTCAGGATCAGGTCCTTCCAGTTGCTCTTCTCATCTAACATTGGGCCAAGCCATAGAATCTGGATCTTGACTCATGTGCTTGACAATGGTCTCTAAAATCATGTGGCCTCAAAATACCCCGTGGGAAACAAACATTAGGCCACATGCAAACCTGCTAAGAATGGAGTATGTATGCAGAGTTTTAGACAAGCTGTTTTACATAAAATTTTAATCCAACAGCGCAATCGGTCACGTAACAGTAAGCTACATGCAACGGGAGCCTGTGCCTTTATGGTAAAATAACGGCAAGGAAAGTAGGCGTAGATCTAGCATTCAATGATCCCTAGGGATCCACGGTCAAGATGGCATGGCAAAAACAAACGTAATCGCACGTGGAGATGCACTCGACCAATAAAACTTCAGCTCCTTGTGGTAAACCAGGGCACAAAAACACTGGAAAATTTCCCATTGGTTTAGTACCCCTATTCATAAGTATATCGTGTCATATGTCTACCTACAGAAGCCGATGAAGCAGCCACTTTAGAAAAGCAGGTTGGAGACTGGAGAGAACCATGATGAAGATGCATCGATACAGTGATGGTGGAACGCCGCTGAGACAGGCCTCTCTCATCGCGAATTCATTTTCCAGCTTGAAACCCGTACAGTAATATTTCCTTTCAAGAAAAAACTGTTCTTTCCCTAGACATTTTGAAGCTGGTAAGTTCCCTCTCCTTTTTCTTGGATCGCAGGAATCAAATCACGTGCCATAGATCCCTGCACCGGCCACTTTTATGGAGCCTGTCCAATCAGCCTGCCCCCTATCCAAAACCAGATCGCCCACAGAACTACACGGCCCAACACTGCTTGAACTGAGTTCTTGCCAAATCTTAATACGCCCCACCCCAAGACGCACGTTGTTCTGGCATTGTTATTCCTTGGTGAAAGGAACAGTGACTCTCGTGAGAAATTTTTCGGAAGGTCAGGAGCGACGCAGTTTCTCTTAAGCCTGTTTCACAGGAGGCGATTTTCCGAGCAATCTACATTTTCCTCCCTTTTCTAGGTCGTCGTTTCGCACGGAGCAATTCCGTCCGCAAGTTTTTAAGAGTGACCTACCTCTCACTATCTCTCTGAAGACCAGGTGCTTGTTTTTCTACATTCCCTCCCTTCTAGACTTTGTATTTTCTCGTTATCTGGCTGATATTCCAGAAATCTGGACAAATATTAGTTCGCATTACTTTGTCTCCTCGTTTATGCGACAGGTTTTTCTCTTTTTTCTTTCTTTTGCTGTGATGGCATTGTGATGGCAGTTGTAGCACCTATATTCTTGAAATAGTACATTTCAGCAGAATCTTTCATCTGACCCTGGAGAATGCGTTGAGATTTCCTGGTCGTCTCGCACGAGGCAATCGAGCTATCTGGCTTTCTGGCCTCGAATCAAAATCGGTGCAGGAGCGATTCTATTCTCGCCTGCTTTCTCGTTTTTCTTTTCCGCTTCACACGCCTCTGTTTTTCTTGCTTCTTGCAAGAATTCTCAAAATTTTGCCTCGCGTGAAATAGGCTGTAGTGGCGTCAGCCCGATGCAACCGTCCGTCTCAGTCTCTGACTTTTCCTTTGACCTACCTGCATTGTTAAGCATTGAATCATTCTCCTTCTCAGACTACATGCATAAATCAAACTCAAGTGCAGACGGAGACTGGACATGATCTCAACCCAGGTGCCAGAAGAATGGGAAATAAGCATTATATTCGGTCCGACCTGACCTGATGCCAGGTTCTTTGAAATTCTTGCTTCAAACTGCCCCCGGTGTATGGTCGGAGCGGGACTTCCGCTGTGCTGACGACGAATTGCACATGAATGGAATCCCATCTTTATCTTGCTTTTCCAACGACACGCAGTTATGCGTCATCGCAGAATGAGATGACAAGCACCCAAGATAAAAGAAAGGAACACATCATACAGCGTAGAAGCAGTTGGGAACTGCATTTTTTTTCTAGGTAAGGAACATCAACCTGGATAATTTTAAGGATGTCAAATTAGGAAGATTTATTTTCTTCTTTGCAACTGACGAAAAATTTGGGTCTGTGCGTGCTGGGGCACAAGTGTGGACACTAATGTTACACTTCATTAAATTGAAAATAATACTTGATTGCGACAGATATATATTGTAGATATGAAGGTATTAAAATGGACAGTGCATGTGAGATGTGTTCATGATGGATTGTGACTCCTTAAAATTCGGACAGATAAGATGTGACGTAGGCGATGGTGATGGTTATGGATGCAACATGAACAGTTGACAAGGCTTCACCCAGATATGTAAACACTTATCACGAGTTAATAAATAAATATCAGGGTACTACAATCTGAAGCGTTTCTAGGCCCAAGGATGCAAAAAAAAAACTAAATCAGGCAAAGAAACAGAAAGGCAGAGATTGCAGTGTACGATTCTTATCGCAACGAAGAGTAGAGGTGAACTTTCAAGTAACGTCGCAATTCGGTTGCGCACACGATGTTCAATAATAAAAAAAGTGAGGGGATCAATCAGAGACATGGTAAATATAGCTCTACTATTATATTTACCATGTCTCTGGGATCAATGATAGGGGAATCCTCCATTTTGATAGCTTTGTAGATGCGGAGAGAAGTTCTTCGAGCGTTATTTCAATAATCCAAATCAGATTTTTCTTTTTATCACTTTTTGTGAAACGGGTAGAACGAGGATGTGTTAAGACAAGTAAAACTTGACACGTGAAGAAGATAACGCGAATTGAAAATCATGGCATGCTGTGGTAGTCTGTAATGTCATGAGTTCAGGGACAGCGAGCCAGTTTTATTTGAGGGATCAGGGAAAGGATGGAAGGAGTTGTTTTCTGAGGCAGTTCCAGGGTGCTTTAGCATATGCCATGCTGGCCCAGTGTTTTTGGTTTACCTTATGCTTCTTGTTCTCTGAAATCGTGCCTCACTTTACGCAATGAGGAGAATTCAGAATCATACGGAACGAAACTACAGGGAGGGCATCACTGCTGGCTCGCCAGTATAGAGGACCATGCCAGCAGCATAGACGTCGCTCGTGGGAAAGTTGAAGGCTGGGATTGGGGTTCCTAGTGGACTTTCTGCGCTAGTAGACCTCTCTAGTTGATGTCGAGCGTCCATTAAGACGGGTTTATCCGTTTATAGGTAATTGTTTTTAGTGGGATCGTGTCTATTTTCTACCTAGTTATTATGGGTCCTTTTTTGTATTATCCATTAAGGTAAGTAACGTCTTTACGATTTTCACGAAAGGGGCAGTCATTGCATCTTAACCTGACAAGTCATACTGCAACTTCAGTCTCACGTTACTAGGCTGGAGTGTAAGTAGCGATGGGAAAGTATGCTTTCCCATTGTTATCCAGTTACTATCGGGTAGGAAAAATCTATCTCGCCCCATATTATTAATGCCCTCAATCCTTCAGGCTTGGCTGAGATCCTCCCTTGTTCACCTTTGTAGAGAAAGTTGGGAAGGAAATGCTTGATCTGGCGCAGATGACTGCAGAACTGGCCTTAGTCTGTTCCACCGGATATTTTTTTTTTTATCGTGACTCTGCTCGTTTCAAAGTGACTCTTAAGGCGAAGGATGTTACAGCATGATAGGTCTAGGAAGCTTGTGATTGCTTCAGCAGTCGTTTATGCATAGGCTATAGTTTTGACGCAGGCATTGTGCACCACAGCCAACGTAATGCTTCTCCCTCGTTCCTTCTGCATATTAGCCTTAACGTAAGGTCGATGAAACTTTTTGTTGAAGCCTATCAATTGAAAGTTTAGGTCATTATTCTTCATTTGCAGGCCTACATTGACCTACATGGATTAAAAGCATGTAGTTCAGTTCTTGAGCTGGCTATAGACAATTTTTCACTTGACTCAGACACATGTGCATGGGATGTTCCTCATGCATGGGTGTCAAAGTCAAGTGAAAAACACTGTATAAAACAAAGCATTTGTGAGGTCACCCTCAGAAACAGCTCTTCCAAGCTGCAAAGAACTGTTTCTGAGGGAGAGCTCACCAATGCTTAGTTTTGTAAAGATGCATGTGAAAGTGTTGAAAGTTAGATGGTTTTACCCTATTTGTATCCTGCAAGAAGGCTCTGATGTTAAGTAATATGTTGATCATAACCTCTGGACCACTTTTCCATTCAGCTTTGCTACACATGAGTGCTTTGACTTAGTTGGGTAAAGGCAGTTGACCTTGGCTTGCCTGGATCACTACTTCTAGCTGTTAGACTCTGACTCCCTCAAGAGAGGATTTAGGCTGAATAGTCTAGACCTAGAGCATTCTAGACTATTCTATCAGTTGGCTATCATCCACTGGACAGTATTTTTTATTATCTAGAAGTGAGAATACTTGGCCATTAGGTTTCAATCAGGAGCCATAGATCAAATTCCTCAACATGGCTAGATGGCAGTTCAGTTTTCCTGAACTGCACTTTCCCAGTATATAGTCTAGTACTGGATTGCTTTCACACTGTCTTATGCATGCAAAATTTATAATCTATGAAAATGTATCAGAAAATATCAGTGCATAATAAACTGCTTATCAATATGGGATAGTTCTTATTAGAAGTATTTGCTTGAAATTGTAGTGCTCCAAGAAAGAAGCACCTTATGATTAGCTTGCTGGCTATAGGGATCATATTTTATTCTGGAGAATTCTGCCATGAAGTAAATTAGTTCAATTTCATCTTGGTCAAATAATTTACCCCAGGAAGTGAAGTTCCTAATGTAAGACACTTAAGATTCATTAGGTTACTGATTCCCATCCTCTTGAAACAAGATCATTGAAAGCAGGGAATTTTCAAATACCCAGACAAATGCAATATTTGCTGAACATATCACACAATAAATGTACTGAGTGCCCAAAACTTTACAGGCCTGCAGACGGAATACTATACGAGTTATCAACAGGAAATTTGTAGGGTTTCACATCCAATATCTACAGATAATTTCACAAAATTTTCAACGAAATTGGTTGTTACATACCTGGGAAATGGTTTTTCTTCTGTGCATTGTCAAAAGGGTGGGTGTACTAAGAAGTGCGACTGACCAATAAAGAAATGCTTAGTGTGTCATCCAGTGAGCACTCGCCAAGGCAGCATTTAAGGCAAACACACTGACACACTAGCTCATTTGACAATTTGTGCAGAAAGAGCTCATACTCACATGCAGAGCAGGGAATTACATTGAACATTTTCTGAAACCACCTACACATATCGGATATGACACTGAAATTTTCAAGACTATGTTTAATATGGTGTCGTGTTTGCAGATGAATGAAGCTCGAGGCTTTTATTTTTTAGTCATCTGGTATTATTAACTGCCTGAGGAGGTCTGCAAAATAAATCTGAATATTTAAAGCCAAAGTATTCCCCTATTTTATGACAAGAGTTTAATTACAGGGACCAGATGAAAATAACTAATAAATATTTTTATATTCCAACCTGGTCACCCAACTCAAGAGGTTCTATGGACGGCCTTTTTGCCCACTATTTGCATTTTGCATTGTGACGTCAACGCTGGCTACCAAAACAATTTTCTTTTTGTGTATTAACCACATTCTTTTACGTGTCGAGTGCGTCATGCTTGCACGTATGTGTGATTCCCCGTACACTGCTGTTATCGCTTCGGAGGCACCGCTGTTTTTGTGTTGGTAATTTTAACCACTTGAGGGATAAATCACACACACTCATATTTATGTTTCCTTGTAAGTACTTACAATGTTTCTTCCGTATTTTGGGGGGAAAGCCAGTGTTAGACGTGAACATAACAAATATATGTAAAAAGCACAAATCGCCGGAAAATCTCGTACGTGTTTTTGACGCAAAAAATTTAGAAAATTGTCAACAGCTACATCAATTTATGCTCCTCAATTTGTTTTTGTTTTATTATGCCAGCTCAAAAAATGACGAAAATATTAATTTAAAAGAAAAACGTAATGCCTTGGGGATTAAAAGGCGAATTCAAATTCCGGCCGTCAGGGGAGTCAAGTATTTACAAAAATACCGTACGATAAAAGGTTAAAAGTTAGTCCGTAGCTTCTCTACGGATGTGGGCTGGTGTTATTTGCACCAGAATAGGAAGCCAGTAGACAGGTGTGAATTTCAGCGTGCCTCTCATTAAGCGCATCGCCTGGTTTAGCCTAGTGTGAGCTATAAGCCCACACCGGTGAGCAATACTCCGCTACGGAGAACGTATAAACGATAAACGTATATAAAGGCAGGAGCTGGCGTGCACAGCGTTAGCGTGTTGGCTCCTCAGCTTGTGCTGGCCGGTTTCCGTATCAGGCAGAGCCTGATCTTCACTTTTTTGCTGGCCTTCGTAAAGTGACATTTGAAAGTCAGTGCACCGTCCAAAGTTACTCCCAGGTACTTACTCCCAGGTACTTTGGATTAGGGTCGTTGACGACCTCACGGCCGCAAAAGGAGACGCTGAGTTTCTCTTTTACGGATCTGTTGTCCAGGTGGAAGGAAGCAGCTACGGTCCTGCATGGGTTTGGTCGTAGTCTCCAGTACTTGAAGTACTCTTTGAGTGTCTCCAGGTCGCTGCTGAAAGTTCGGCCAATATCAGTGAGGTTTTTGCCATGAATCGTGAGGGCGATGTCGTGCTTGATAGGTCGCTCACGTAAAGGTTGAAGGGGGCTGGGGCTAAGACAGTGCCCTGAGCAGGCCAGGAAAACACATGCGAATGTGCGAGCGAGGTTCGCGGGAACGGAGCCGCGCGGGAGGGCGGCCCGCTTAGTCCGCTTGCATATCCTTCCCGGGAAATTCCAATTTGTCGCCTCAGGTTCGCGGGAAAAAAAAAAATTTCTTACACTGACCCTGAGATAGTCCGTCGTTTAAGGCACCTAGTCTATTGCTTTGTCCTCCCAGGTGGACTCAGCAACCGGCGGTTGCTGAGCATGGAGCGCAGTTGTCGGAGGGTTTGTTGGCATTGGATGACGTTCGAAACCTTTTGCAGCAGGCCTTGCCGCCAGACCGTGTCGTACGTGAACGACAAGTCGACGAATGCTGCGCCGGTTTTTTGGTCTCGCTCATAGCCTACTTCAATATGTGAGGTGAGAGCGAGGACCTGGTCGCAACAGTTTTTTTCTGGTCGGAATCTGGCTTGTTCATAGAAAAGAGCAGGCTTAATGACCGGAGTTATGCGCGTTGTAGCGCCATTTCTACCACTCGCACTTGGATCTTGAGAGGCCCTCTACATTTAGTGGTAAATCCGATGGTCCTACAGATTTATGTCACCTACGTAAACCTGTTGGACTAGCATCTATCTGGAATACGTAGATTTAAAAAATCTAATGCAAAGAACTTCCTGGCTGCTCATTAAGGAACAAACCCAGTATCACATTCCAGTGAAGCACTGAGAATTATGCATGTTGTCATGAAGTAGCAAGTGTATTTGGCAATTTGGAAGCAGTACTAAAAGCATTCACAGCTGAGGAGAAGGCGAGGCAGTTGTGGTATCCCTTTGTAAATGAAACTTCATTGTCCCTAAACTTTCTCCCTGCCATATTACCTTTACTGTATTGTATCATGAAAGGCTTAGGGTGATATAATTATGAGAGCTGCTCACCTTGAGACAGGTTGGCATGAGGGCAGGGAGGGCCCAAGAGAAGGAACCCAGGAATTATGTGGATGGTATGTGGGAGAATCATCATGGCAGATGAAAACCTATCCAGCCAACTTTTATCCATTCTTTTCGTAAAACCATGGTTATGCTTTAGATCAAAAGTGCACCATGTTTCTAGTCATAGACCTGGGACCATTGCATATTTCTCTGTAGCGCTTGGTTTAAATACTAATCAGAAACTATTAAGCAGAGGTCTACATTTAGTCGTTATTTCTAATTTTTCTTATCATTTCAGGTTGGCTGCTATTTTGTAACATTATTGGGCTCTTTCAAGGGCAAGCAGGAATGAACTTCTGTGATTTATGGCAGGTGACTGCAAGTGTCAGCCAGTTTCTCCCTTGGGTATCACTTTGTCTTCTTGATTGCTGGACTTATTATCTGTGATCATGGCTACACATATGATCATATTTCAGCAATTTTCTCAAAGTTTATCCCTGATATTTGTGTTCTTCATCATCCAAGCAAGTGCCCTGCATGTGTCTGGACAATGGGACACCAACACCTCATTCTTCACGTTTGTGGCAAAGTTTGGTTTTCAGATGACCCTCATCCAAAGAAAAGCTGATACTCAGGGGTATATTTTTGGGAATATAACTGCACCATCTGTGAACAGAACACTTCCCTATGGCTTCACATTAGCTGTATTGGACAAGGAGTATTTCTATGAATACTACAAGAATCGGAATGTAGATGACAAGGATCTTGCATGCAAGTTGATGTTTGAACAAGTGCAAAAGGCAGCATACAATGTATACTGCAATGAAGAGGGAAAACAAGACTTCCTAAGAAGAATCCCCTGCCCTCAGGGAAGGCTGTGCCTGGAAGAGGATTCACCTGAACTTGTTGTAAATGGATATCAGTTCACCTTTGCTATTCAAGATCTTACTCGTCCAAGGTAAGGGTTGCTTGTTCATAAGATGACTTGTCATATAGACAGTAAGTGATTCCTTCCTTTGACAGTTACCTCTCATGGTTCATGGAGTTAGCCAGGGTAATTTTTTTCCATTAGAAAGGAAACATCCTCTTTTTTTCTAAGATAATATATTCATGTGTTTAAATATTTTATATTCAAGATTGTCATGGATTTCAATTCATATTGTCATATTTACATATATTTGCTGGTATACCTCCATAGACAGTGCTTTTACAAAGGCAGATGCTATGAAGAATGGTTTGCACCTTACCTTTCAGTATCCAAGCAGGGTTATGGATGGATGTTAACACATTGACAGCTGAGAATTTAAATGCCCAGTCCACCTCTCCTTGCCAAGCACAGCAGTGGAGGTTTGCCACATCAAATACACCATATGGTGTGAATGGCAGTGAAAGTGTTAAATATGGTACATGGATATTTCTACATTATACAAAAATGATTTCCCATTTACAGGTTATGGAAGTTTCAGCAGCATAATAAGTTGTGGGGGTAGAAAGACTTGCATCAACATTCCTACAGTGATTTTGGAAGCCCATAGCTCTAACAGGTTGAGTTGAACAGCTGTGCTGTTTGACTCAAAATTGCAGGTTGAATCTTAATAAATAAATCCAGAGACACACAACAGTAAAAATGTCAAAGAATGGACATCCCCATTAAAGGAATAAACATACTTGAGGCTTTATGATATTATGAGAAACAAGTAATGATTGACAATGGTTGTCTTCACATATTGGAATACTCACAGGATCAGCAAACTTTATTCTATAATTCAGAGCATTCCAGTAACTGAAACTATCTGCTGTATCATACCATAAATCAGGACCATGCCATGCTATTCCATTAAGTGGAGTATTTCATAATGTTGAGTCGACTGCATGTAACTTTATAATACATAGAGTTCTTCAGCATAAAAAATTCAATATAAGCAAAACAGTTTTGCCACCCGGCAATGCTATCATCAAGTAGGCCTTGATTACATATTTTGTGAAGAATCTATACCAAAGTTTCTAAGGAATTTTATTTCAAATCAACATCTTGTGAATCTTTCTCTTGAAATCACAAGTCAAGGTGTGGTAATATCAAACTCTTTGTTCAGGTTTTGGTATGCAAGCCTTGTTGCCTGCTACCAGGATGTTGCAGATTGTACATGGCACCATTCAAGGGAGCAGATGGTTTTGGATTATGATATATGGCTGGTGAATGGGGACCCCAGCAAAAAGGGTCAGAATCCATTTGAGTATCAGTTTTCCTATGACCTACAGGTGGGTTCATTTTCTGAATTTTTGTCTGCAAGATTTGTTCTGCTCTTACTTAGTCATATTAATCCTACCCAGGACACAGTGGAGATATACCTGCTATTCTTGGTGCTCTACCTTCTTCTTCTGCCTCTGCTGGTCCATGCAATGTTTCAACAACGCCACACTATTCGACGTCTCATGACAGCTGGAGCTTTCCTTGAGCTCATATCTATTCTTTGCAATGTGACTCATGTTCTGCTTATTGTGGAGAATGGTGAGGGGTTGAAAACTATGAGTGTGATTGGGGACGTTTTGGATATTCTTGGCCGAGTGAGTGTCTTCTACTTTGCATGCTGTTTTGACCTATTGCATTTTTCATTTTAATTTCACCCAATTTTTTGCTTTTTAAATTATAGAGTTCTCTGATGTTGTTGCTAATGCTATTGGCTAAAGGATGGGCCATCACTCGCCAGCCACTTTCTTGGCCTGGCTGTCTCTTTGTGGTTCTCATTCTTCATGCCTCAGCCAATGTCTGCCTCTATGTGTGGATGCAGGTGAGCACTTTTCTGCCACATCTTTGGGTTGGATTTTGTTTTTGGCTTTTCTGATGACATTGACAATTTTAGACGGAGGTGGATGTCATAGAGGATATAGATGAGTACCAGACATGGCCTGGGTGGCTGGCTTTGATTTTACGGTTCCTCATCATGCTTTGGTTTCTATATGAACTTCGCTCGACCATCGACTTTGAACATGATCCTGCCAAGGTGAAATTCTTCCTTCACTTTGCTGCTGCTGCTCTCATCTGGTTCTTATATCTCCCCATTGTGGCTGTCATTGCTCCATTCATCTCTGCTCTATGGAGGTTCAAGTTCATCCTGAGTAAGTATTTTTCAACTCCAGTCAGTGTCTTTTTTTTCTTCTAACGTTTCTGACAGCTGACATTGATTATATTTGTTGTTGCAGGTACAACATACTCGGCAGATTTTGTTGCATTTGCTGTGCTTTGTCACCTGCTGTGGCCAACAAGAAGCCATCAGTATTTCCTTCTTGCTGCACCTCATCGAGGAGAGGAGCTGGAGGAGTTTGCTCAAGCTCCACACTTGCTCACAGGGGACATGCATACAACTGTGATCCCTCCTGCCTTTGAGGGGAAGTTTGTCAATGGAGACACCAGGAATCATGTAAATGCCAGCATCTGAGATTGAGTCATTGAACCTGTTTAGACATCCGATGGACTGAATGCCAGAATTGTGATGCTATTATGGTTACCTGTAAGTTCTTTCATCACTAAGCAATTGGTTGTGCTTGCCACTTCATTCCTTTGCCTCATTTTAGTCTCTTCTTATATATTTGTGCCAATTACTGTATATTGAGGCATCTAGTACTTCAGTTGGCAGTGATGCCATTGAAGTCCCAGACTGTAAAAAATAACCACTGTGGAAGCCACAATTGATGTGATTTATCTGTGCTTGCTCGTTGGGCAATATGTTTGAATTTTGATTTTTTTAGCAAATCAGATGTATCTTCCCCAGAAGATTCCCCATGTCTTTTTGTTGCCCTTTTTCTTATTTTTATTTCCCATAAAAAGAGAAGATTATGTGATATGTGCTTGTCCAGGACAGACTTATTGATTTCTGACCTACTTAAAATGCAAGCAAGAAAACTTGGTCCTTTGAGCTTTACAAGTCTTTCCATTCAGTTTCATTCCTCCAGCCTTCAGGCTAAGCTTAGGTAATTGAGTTCATGTGAATCTACTTTTACAACACAATCTTCTCAATCTGAGCTTTCAATTCCCAAGGCCCACTTCAAGCAAAAAAAGGATCTGGACAAAAGAAGTCAAATAAGTTTTATTGGCACATAAGCAGATCCATAAAATCACGCAGCTATTTTTCTTTAAAAAGTTATCTGCCTTCTCTCTGCCTTGCGTTTTTATTTTCCTGGACTGAAAAACAATTTTGTTGCTTGTACCTGACAAATTTTTTCATGTGTCATGTTTAATGGAAATTCTCTAAAAACAAGAGTTTCTTTTCTCAACTCTGAACATAATATATTCCTCAGTTTGCAAGGTGTCCATCCTTTACTTTCAGCCCTTATTCTCTTGAATTTGTAACCAGTTAAAGTAGAATTTGGAACTCAAGATTGCAATATTTTGGGGATTCCTGTATTGTATCTGGAGTTCTTGTGGAAAAGAAAATGTTCTGTCTTTGATGATGGAAGTTCTGGATTTCTATTGTGTGTCTCTTCAAAAAATATATTTTCTTAAGATCTCTAGGTGCAGTCACAAAAGTCTGCATATATAGACTCAGTCTAAAGTCTTGGATATTTCATCTCATGGGGAAGAGAATTGTAGAATTTCTGCAGCATAAGCTTTCATCAGTGCTTGTGTTTCTCTTCATGGGACCATGTGATTGGCTGGAGATTATGGGTAGACCCATTGTTGTGACTTGGTCCTGCTGAGAAGAGATGTAGTATTTTAGGCTTTTCTTTAAGACACATTTTTTTAAGTTTTCTGTTGCTCTCCACTTGTGCATGTCAGGAAATATTCAACAGCTCTGACCATGGTGTCAAAGAAAGGACCTCAAATCTTTGCAATTGGTAATGTTAACTCTGGAATGGAGCTGCTGTTTACCTGAGACCAAGAATCCCTCTATTTGCCTGCATACGGCAAAAAAAAAGGAAAGAATTTGGAATAAACTGCAGAATATGCCTGCACTTTTTATTCGAGGTTTTGAATTGCAATTCCAGAAACAAGTTCATTGCTGCCTGTTTGACTTGTTTTTTTTTTATATTCATTTTCTGGATCCTCATTGATACATTCACATCTTGATATTTCTCTTTAAGTGTGACATCTTTCATGACTCAGTTGTATTGATTTTACTGCCTATAATTGCCACCATTCAGTGCAGATGAAGAAGGGTAAAGGTTTTGGTAAGGGGAGGCCAGATTCCCTCATTCTCTCAGATTAGATCTTGAAACACCCTTGACTCTGGAACTTTATAAGGCGTCCTTGGAAGACATTTTGCAATTCCAGAATACCATTCCAGTCTCAGTTTCTTCAGGAATCAGTATTTGAGGCAGATAGCTCCAGTGAAGGAGGAAAGAGTATCTGAACTTTATAATCAAAGTCCATGTTTGGTTAACTGTTGGTTTATGACAGATGTCAAAGTTTCAGATGAAGCTGACACCAAGGCCACATCAGTTTTGATGAAAGAATTAGTGCTAGCTCCTTCTTTACAAGTGTCCTTGCTACCAGAACCTTTGTCTATGCTTGGCATGGGATATTTAACATTTTCACCTTGAAACTTGCTCTGAGTCTGCTTTCATTACCATCCAAGACCTGACCAGCATTTTTGAATTATGCCTATTTTTTGTCAGTAAGTTTATATCAAACAACAAATGGACAAAAACTGAAATCGAAAATAAAGGAAAATGTTCAACTACAGCAGAACTGATGCTCTGAAATCCTTTCTTCTATGCTGATTCAGAGTTGCACATGTCATGAAATATTTATTTCCATTGTGTAACATTATTTTGAGGTAGCATTTGAGATTTAGTGAGAGAGAATGAGGACTTTTGCCCCGTACAATCTTGCAGGGTATGCACCTTCATGCTTGAAAGGCCAATGTTGGATCATTGTTGCATATTGTTTTACCAGCTGGAGACTTAGGAAAACTGGCCTCTTGCCACCATTGAGCTTTCCAAACTCAGGTGGAGCTATCTATTGGAAATGCTTGAGGCTTATTGAAGAGGTGTTTAGGAATCTGTATCCTTCATTATGAGGTCTTTATATGCTTTGATGTTCATTTCTTTGCAAGTCCTTTTCTCAGTGGTATGTCTTGCAAAAGAAAATAAGTTTTTCTTTTACTTAAAAAAAAAATAATTTTTCAGTGAGATTTTTGAATCCAGCTGCTCATAGGGAAGTTTTTTTTTAGTGTCTTCTATCTAGAAAGGTGCCTTATAGTGGAGTTTTTCTTCTGGGTTCATTAGCACTTTGAGCCCTGGCAATTTGAATGCACCAAGGGCTTAGGATGTCATATGACAGCTGCAGGGCTCAAAGTGTTAAATATGAAATAACCACTTATGGTTTGCATATATTGCTCACCTGATGTCAGCAGATGAAGCAACAGAGACATACTATAACTTCTGTTGTCATCATTCATGTCATCTGCTAGCCACATTATTATTTTTTTCTCAAATCTTCAATCTTCTCCTGCCTGTCAGTATCTGTGAGCATCAAGTATAGAACAGGCATTAACTTCCAGTGAAATAGACAGAAAAGCACTCTTTTCTCATGCAAACTGCTAAATGGCCTTTGAAGCTGACATGAAGTTTCTCAACAGGTGTCTCAGCAAATTTTATTAATGCCCTCCTATTCTTCAGATATAAAAAATTAGGACCATTACATGAATGTTTATTTCAACACTTTTCTCCTTTACAATTAGGTTAACACTTTTGAGTTCCTGATGATACATGTGCCACATGTAGGATGCGATGTGTCTGGTTCAACTGGCAGTATTCATTGGTTCCACTCAGAGACTTTAATGTTCTTGATGGAATATTATATGCATTTACTCTCCTCCTTCTTCTCACTTATCATGCTGAGGTGCAGCTTTTAGGTATCTTTGACTGTCAGTAGATCCTTTTGGGAATGAGTTTGAGACAGATGCCTTACAATTTTCAAGCTTTGAGGAAGAAAGGACTATTAAATGAGATTTAAATTTAATTAAAAATAAATTTTTTCATTTTTCTTGAAATAAATCCTGTCATGTATCCTGGTTCATTCCAAGATCCTTCTAAACTGTTGAGACATGATGAACACTAAAGTTCTCAAAGAAGCAGTCTGTCCTTCATTAATGTTAGCCAGTTTGGTAGAATTTCAGCATATGCATGTTGAATATTGTCTATATTCTCTCCATCAGAACATAGACAATGCCCTTCTTTGCATTCCATTCTCTCATAATGGGATTGGTATTGGAGTGTTTGAGGGTATGATGTCCTATCACTCCAACACTAATCCTTGTTTAAGCACACATACTGTCAGAAACTTTTACCAGAAAAAGACTCACTGTTGGTTAAACCAAGTGTGATTTATATTTTTTATGATGCACCTGAACTCTTGGTGTTGTGGTAATGGTGTCCTCTACTAGTAAGAAGAGGGATGAGTTATCCTGTTATTCATGTTGCTAGGACAAAACACATATTGTCCTTATGATAAGCTTAGTGTCTTTGATCTCAGTTTTTTAGGAAGTAGGAATGGTTGCATAGATGTCATTCTCATGTGATACTAGGTGACTGATAGCATGGTATAAAATGAAGGTTTGAAACTGAAATTTTTATGAATAATATAAACCTGTCATTGAAAGAATTTAAAAAAATCACATGATTATTGGCTATGTGTTTTTAATTCTTATGTTCAGTTCTTCCTGTTGATTCAGCAAAAAATGCAGAATTATTGAAATTGAACATCTTAGTTTCATATGTTCACAGATTAAGAGACCCTTTTTCTTGTCTAATCCAGTATCTGATTGTGTTCTTTCAAAGATTTCTGCAATATAGGATTTTGTAGGGACATGAAACTTCTTTATAAAGCAAATCATGGGTTGGCCTGAAACTTCTTTATAAAGCAAATCATGGGTTGACCTGAAATCTTTCAGTTCAGTTGTTGAAATCAATTTTGAAAGTTTCTGAAGTGGCAATCAGATTGGTAGCAGGGGTCAGTCTCCACCAGTCAACAATACCGGTTGCCAAATGGCACAAATGAAATTTTAGGCACTCTCCTGATCTAAATTATGGGAGAATCTCATTTTCCCATAATTTCATTAATTTATTTATGAGGTTTTGAAGAATGCAACAATAATCCTCATCAGAGCAGGTAACTCTGCAGAGGAAGGTATTAGGGATGATGATGGGAGGACACCAAGTGCCATTTTTATTTATTATATGGAATCAAAGGAAACTAGTTCAGCAATTGAGGGTTATTTTTATATATATATTCATAAGGAAAGCTTGTTTGTTCAGTATGCATGATCTGGAGCTGAAAACTGCACAATTTTTCCTGAGGAGGCATCAACTTATCCCACATGCAAGACAGGGTAGAGAAGCCATTTCTTCATACAAGAGAAGCAAATTTGTTGTACATGGTGATTGTTGGAGCAATTTGACTCTGATCTAAAGATGTTCAATATAGGAAATCCACTTTAAATTATTATTAGTTTCTTTATTTACTTGGCACATGTTTTCACATGCTTTCTTGGTTGGTACTATGCCTACTGTGGATCTGCTTTATGTGAGCTTCATATCTCTTACTTCCCAGGATTCAGAGAGAGATCTCTAGAAAAAGATAGTCATGTTTGGTATTGCCCAGACTACAACTCGGTAGTGTTTTTGAAATCATAGTAGTCATTAAAGACAACTATGTTGAGTATATATGTAAGTGGAAGCAGTTGATGCATCTCCCTTGAAGGCCTTGGATAATCACAGTCTAGTTGAGATAGTGTATGCATCAGATTAACATGTTTGCTGCTTGTGATGCATATGTATGTCAAAAACTAATGATGAAATCACTCATTGGGAGCAAACATGTTAAGAGCATAAGGCAGAAAAAATGAGGGAAAAATTGAATCTCTTTTAATAGGAATTTTGATTTTACATGATTATATCTTGTCCATGTTATTCCATGGCTATGTATCATTGGGCCTGCTCTTTCTTCAATATGGATTGAAATGGCTCCTGTCCAATGAGTACTGCACTTTCATCTGGGGGTCAATGTTTCTTTTTGGTGTTGGAGTCCATAAGAATTCCTGATGGTTCTGAGTAAAGATTCCTATTTCAAGAATTAATTGGTCTCATTTTATTCAAGGCTTTTTTTTTTAACAGGAATAGCCAACATCACAGGTTTTGGACCAGTGAAGTCCTCATGAATAACCCTCCTGTGTCTATGCATGATCCTTCTTCCACTGATCAATCCATCCAAGGATCATCTGGATATTGGAATGTCTCTCATCCCAAGTGTTACTTGGAAGCTCATGTACAATTTGAGTTGCATATGATTCCTTTGCTTCTTCAAGGATGGTCTGGAAGATTTCACACTGTAAGTTGTCCTCCAACTTCTTGCCTGAGTAGCCTCTCTGCACCAGTCTGTCATACAGCACCGTGTTGTTGGTCCTCAATACAAACACGACATCAAACCATCTCTCGGGAAAGAAGTCACATCCGTGATAGTCGATTATCACTCCTCCATGGGATATGATGTCCTCAAGCCCATCCATGACTGCATCTTCATCCAGAATGGGGCATTCGTAGGCATCATCATATCCCTCAAAGGCCTCATTTTCCTTGGCATAGTCTCCTATGTTGACGAACTTTAGTCCTGATTGTAGTGCGAGTTCCTTCCCCAATGTAGTTTTTCCAGTTCCTGGGGTGCCAGTAATAAGAATGTTTGGTTCTGTCCTTGAAACTGCCATCATAAACTATGGTGGTGAGCTACTGGGCTGCTTGTGAGCTTGGCTGGAGTTCTGAAGACTGTCTGGCCTTTTCTATGCAGAGACGGAATTCTTGTACTTCCTTCTGACACTTTCTCCAATCCTTGTTTTTCACCATGCAAGCCTATTGAGAAACATTCCAATTATGCAGCTCTCACTTTATGATAAGAATTTTCCATTCTATGAAGTTTAACTTTGGTTAATAATCATGATGCAGATAGTGAGCTTGACTCCCATGGCATGGGAACCAGGCTCTAATCCAACTATGACGGGCGTTGACTTCTGAGTGTAAGCCCCTACATCTATGGGAAACAAAACCCTGGAGCACATAGGCTCCCGCCTCTGTTATCAGTGGATAATCCAAGTGGATCGCCAGGATTTTGGGGCTAGGAAATCCATTGCTTCTCTGGGAAGCCGGATGCATTTGGACCGCGCTTCTGCCTCCCCCCTTCTTGCTACGCCACTGTTCTGGATATGGGATTTGTTTCAAGCGGTGAAACGCGAGGGATGCGCTAACTTCTAGAGGAAACACTGGCCAAATTGAGTCTCCCTGGGAACTAGGAGTCACAGGGACTATGATATTAATAGAGGTTGGATTCATGATGGAGGGTTGTTCTGCCCCTAATAACACCAAGTCGAGGCCGAACGCTCATCACAACCCTTTGCCACAATTTGCTAATTCATTTTAAGGAAATTGTAATTGGTGAGGGCGAGTCAATCATCTGCTTAGCTGCTAACAGCTACGTTACTCCCTTTAATCCATTCACTTTGAGAAGAGCTAGTTTCTTATCTCTCAAGGCCGATTGTTGCCGTGATTAATGAGAGACTGAGGGGAAAGAGGGCATGCAATTAGTACCCTCTCAACTTGCCCTGTTGGATGACAGTTCGGAGATGCCAAATGGGGATATTCTCTCTTGTCTCTACACTGACCTGTGCTACGGAAGAGAGGACGTAAAATGTAGGAGCCGTGGACTTTTTCTACTTAACAGTTCTCAAGTTACCTTGTCAGGTACATCGGCGCAACCTGCACAAAAAAAATTTTCCTGCCTGAAGCATTCTCTTAATTTCTGGCAAATCTGATTTTTCGCACAGGTCTGACATGAGTCCTCAACAAGTGAGTTGTTGGATGTTGGAGTTATGGGCATGAAAAGAAAAATTGTAAGAAATCTAATGAATTTACGATTTAATGGGTCCGAGGAATCGCTGCTGTCAACATAGTTTGCCGACTAGCTCTTCTCAAAGTGAATGGACTATACATCTAACCACTTCTGAAAACTATCCGCAAAGGGGGAGCCACTCCTTGACCCAATGATGAAAGTCGACCTATAGAAGTATTTGAACGGCAAAAACGGGGGAATTGTGTTTTCCTTGAATTCCCCCACCCCGCATTGGAATTAATTGCAGAAGCCCGTTTCGGCAATATTTGTAAAATTTAATTTCCTACAAGAAGTATGAGAATCGTGTTCCGCTCCATCTGGAAAAACTTGTGGGATTGCCGTGCCCACTTACTTTTTTCACTGCCTCCGCATTCCGTGCACTTAATACACGACAGTTAAAAAATTCGTTACGCAACTCGAATTATATCCCTCTAGTTCTCCTATTGCCATCTAGGCACAAAAACCGCACATGTTGCCCATTATCGAAGCCCTTAATGGTGAATGTCTGGATTGAATGAATACAATCCCAATGTACGTCTATTCGCCGTTCGCATTGAAGTCCCCGTTCCCCTTCAATTTAGCGACTCACCTCTGAACTTTCTGCGTGACAATTACATCCCTTCATTTGTAGGCCTCCAAAACTGAACACAGCACTCAAAATGGGGCCTTACCAATGCGCTATACAACAGAAGAATAATGTGTAAGCTCCTTTTGGCAAAAAATGATGGATTCAACTTAAAATCCTGTTAAATTTTGCCACGGTCGCCGGTCGAGCTCGGCGAATCCCTCTCCCCATTTGCCTCCCCAAATGTATTATCGCCAAACGCACCCAGAGACCATTCAGCTTGAACTGGGCGGGGACGACTCGAGCTCCCGATAGCATAATCAGGTACGAGGGCAAAGGTTATGTGGTCAAGCGCAAACAACCTTTCGCATACAAGACAAATCGATCCTTGAAGATACAGAGTAATTGAAGCGCGAAGTTTGAAACTGTCACAAGCGGTCGTATTCCTTAACAGGTTAATAATAATGAGCCAAATTTTAAGAATTTTACGTTTACTCTTATTGATTTTCATAAGCCAACTACACTTGTTCCAAAGCTTGTTCCTCTCGAATGTAACGCTTTGATGGAACAACCTATTTTTGGGTCATCGGCAAATTTACTGATACTCAGGGCCTCGCTCAACGAAAATGACATACATAGGTGGTCCCAAGACGGAGCCATGGTGCACTACCCGTACACTCACGACCATAACTTCAGAAGACACTTCCCAATTTAATATTATTTTGAATCTCTTTCCGACCACCAATTACTTATGTAGTTATCCCTGGAACTACCAGAACTGGGATGGTCATGTTTAACTCTTCGCTTTATTTATTTCTTCATTTGCAAAAAATCTCTTCAAAATACTTTGCTTAATTACTAGCACATGTCTTCATGAAAATACACGGAGAATTGGACTTAACAAGTTTACGGCAGTTTACACAAATGGCTAAAAAAAATTTATGAGGGTCCATTGGACCCAGACCGGTAATTACAGATTAAACACTCTACCTCATATTCCATGTACTTCCAATATAATTTAGCCTATAATCTCTCATTGGGACAGGTATATAAAAAAATAGTTCTCGTCTAAATATACGATGAAGAAAGGTCTTGATCCATCAAATCTGATTTCTCGATTGTAAAATTGTTGAAAATTGATCAGACAAAAATACACCTACACGCATTGCTGATAGTCCCGAATGAACGACCTTTCCTCCAAAAATTATATGATGTCATTCTTTATAATGCTTTCCATGATCTCGCCGGGATGCTCGCGAGACTGACCAGCCTGTCATTCATAGATTGTTCCGATCTCCCTTATTACAGATACAAGCACGAGTCCCATCGAGACCGATTGCCTTTTCCGCCTTGAGTTCCCGTACATTACAGACACTCTCCTTCAGACGAGACAATAACCTAGTGAGGCGCATCGGTAACCTTTGCCATTGCCGGTACCTCGTTGGATTCATTCGTGAAAGTAACAGCAAAACATATCATTCAATACCCCAGTCGATGTACGTAATTAAAAGGCTATGAAATAAGAAACGGACCTGAACTGCGTAATGCCTCTCCAAGCAGCCAGATTTTTTAAGCATGGAGTCTACAGGATCATCCTCTTCCTCGAGCTGAAGCGTGGTCACAACCTCAGGAGAGACATATTCACTGGGGGCAGCCATGCTTCCTCCTAGCAAGCCCCACCTCTTCCATCATGAGTCCCTGCTTAAACGCGGACAGTCTGTGTGAAGTTCCCTGGTATCATGCTAGCACACAACAGACTTACTCGAAAATGACGCGCTGAGACCGGGACACGTTCCCTATAACGGCATCTGGCAAACGTAGACGTAACGAAATATTCCGTATTATGCTCAATGGCCAAGGACAAAATTTATATTTGGCCACCTTGTGTATTTCCCCACATTGAAGAGGTTACAGTTTACTTGGGCAGTTCCAAAGTTTCTGACGTAATACCTAACTCAAAATGAAAACAAGCATGTTGGTATGCTTTGAATATGGATTTGCCCAGAAGTTCTACAGTATCTAATAGAACATAGATGCTTGCACCTATTCCAACTAAAATTTTATAATTTCTCCCATGAATGAAGAAAAGTAAGGCATTCATTTCGTGTTGCGAACGTAACATAGTTTAGACAACAGTTTTCGTTCTGCTTGTTTTCTTTCCAACTACATCAGATTTGGCTTGACCTGAAACTCAGAAAAATCATAGACTGCCACCTTTCTTCCTGCCAAAGGACCTTTGTTGTTGATAAAAAAAAATGAATTGGCTTGGAGTTTTCCAGCGTTTCTGTCATAACAAATTGCCCATTTCTTCAACAATGCAAAAATTCCAGATGAACACCTCACAAAGCTAGTGTTAAATTTATCATAATGGAGTGTTACAGAAGAAATGAAAAACCATATCATGTCAGGTGATGCATGTTTAGTGAGTTCCAGATTTAACATAAATTTAGTATCTGTACAATACAGAAAAATTCTGTTTGAGGGAGTTTAAAAAAAAAAATTGTTATACTACTTTTGTCTCAATTGCTTTGGAACTGTCCACTTAATATTATCACAAGCATTCCTTAAAACCAGATAAATGCATTTAATATTGCTCAGGGTTTCCCTAGTCATGACCTCAACACATTCATAGCCAGGCTCTTACCATTAATTCTTGCTCATGAGTACTAACTTAGTAAAAATACTAGAATGATCCTGCCATCTTTGCCTTAGTATTGACCCTGATTAGTCTCAAATGGAATGAAATTATCCTAGTTATTAGTGAACAATTGCAATAACCAGGAATTTACCAGGAATGGTAGATTTCTACCAATATTTTGTATGCACTAAAACCCTAGTTTAATAAGAAAATAAGTCTTTTAACTTCCAAACTCCATATCACTGCAAGCATTAGTCCATCAGAACAACAGCTACCAGCTGCAATGTGACTTGCACAACTCTGAAGGTAACATACAACCCAATTACAACAATATGCATGACATATATTTCCTGTTACCATGAGAATTAAAATAAGTGGATAGGAAGTATCATACCATCAGTTTAGGTCACATGGACACATTTGTAGATTTAAAAAAGGAGTAATAAGAATTTTGAAAGTGGAAAAGAAATTGCAGAAGAGTTTGGTAGCCTCTTTCATATTGTTTGAGCATGCAACCAGGACTCAGACTCCTTGGACCAGTCCTATTTCATTTAAGTTAATGGTCATCTGAATTCAAAACAGTAAAGCAGGTTTATATGATTTGCTGAAAGTATAAATATGTGTATTCTGGCAAGTTCTTCACATGAAAAATTCAATTATCAAAGAGTGCAACAGTGCAATTAAATCATGGGCTGTTTCAAATGTAGGAAGATGAAGAGGTGGAGAGTAAAGAGAAATCATGATCTTGTTATTAATAATTCTGAGTTAAAATGAATGTTACTTTGACCAATATTCTCAAATATTTCAATGAAAAATATAACATTTCTTCAACAATGCAAAAATTCCAGATGAACCCCTCATTGACAGGCTGCAATGAGAAACCCACATTAATCTAATATGCATAAGAGTGGGAACTTGTTGATTTATATCTTTGTGGATTTGGGAATTTTTAAATCTCTAAATGAACAAGTTATTATATGATACCTATATAATGCCACACCATGTTGAACCCATATTGTTATTCTACATTGAACACGATGGTATTGTTCTGTAGGTTGTAGCCTTTCAGAGACTTTCAATCAAATTTTCTCAGTCTTCAAAAGCAATGAATGTCTTCTATATATACTTATATATGATCATATAGGATAGAATGTATGTGTCACATATATATGCCTATTACTCATAAATTAAAAATATATTTTTTCCATAAGGAATAGAATGTGCCTAGGGTAGTTCGAGCAGGTAGGAGAGAGTATCTTTGTTTGAAATGGAAGGACGTTTTTCTTGGTGATTGCTAAGACTGGAGAGAAATGTAAGGACTTATCTATTCATGATTATCTATTCAAAGATGAGTGCTGACTGCAACAGAGACGAGATGCTACTACAGTATTACATAAAACCTGATAGAAGCATCATAGAAAGAAAACGGCAGATTCTCCAAATTCACAATATTGAAGTCCAGGGAATAGAGCTCGAATTCCACTATTATATCAAATGCAGCTCACAAGTGTCTTCAACAGCAAAGGAAAATTTGCATTGGATCCTTCAGGAGTTGGAATGCTCAGAAGTAACTGCATGCCTTGGTACTAGCTCCACACTTGGTGCAGATGATGGAGATGTTTTTGAGATTGGACCAAGGTAATTCTTATGGATTTTCTGATTGACTGAAAAGTTCTTCAATTGGGTAGATTATTAGCTTTTTGTTTTTGCTTGGCATCTGTAATGCAGGTTGAATTTCTCTACTCCCTTCTCTACAAATGTGATCTCTATCTGCAAGGCAATTGGATTGACATCCATCTCTCGTGTCGAAAGATTCCTTTGCTATAGTCTGTCCTTCAATAGAGGCTCTGCTAAGAAACTATTGGAAAAGGTAGGCATACCAGACCCAAGTAAGTCTGCCACTCTTTACATTCAAATTAATTCTTTTCATGGTAATGTGATTTAGACATTTCTTGCACTGTAGGCAAAGGAGATCCTACATGATCGGATGACTGAGTGTGTTTATGAGAAATCATTGTCATCTCTGAATCTCCCACATGAAAAGGAACCTTGGTATGAAGTTCCTGTGCTTGAAAAGGGAAAAGCTGCACTGGAAGAAATTGGAGGTAAATTGGGTGAGTCACAAATCACACCATAGAGTTCTAACAATAGAAAATCATGCATCATGGAATCATATTCCTCCTCAATCCCTATCATGTCAAAGGTCTTGCATTTGATTCTTGGGATTTGGAGCATTACACAAGGCTCTTCACTGAGAAGCTCCAGAGAAACCCAACTTCTGTGGAATGCTTTGACTTGGCCCAATCAAACAGCGAACACAGTCGTCATTGGTTCTTTAAGGGACAACTGATCATCGATGGGCATGAGGCCCCAGCTTCCCTGCTTGAGATGATCATTGCCACACAAGAATCTACCAGCCCCAACAATGTTGTAAAATTCTCAGATAATAGTAGGCAAGTAAAATCTCTACTACTTTCAAGGTATAGAAGGACCATTTCATGGCTGAGTATTATTCCATAACAGTGCAATAGAAGGATATGCTGTCAAGAAACTACTGCCTGAAAGTCCAGCTGCTGCAAGTCCTTATAAACTGGTTGAAGGAAGAAGGCACATCATATTCACTGCTGAGACTCATAATTTCCCCACAGGAGTCAGTCCTTTCAGGTATGAAGATCATTTTGCTGAACTGTACCAAATTTTTGCTTCTGAAAAATTCTGATGAGCAACCAAACTGATGTTCAGCCTGAATTCAGATTCAGATACCAATTATTCATTTATTTAAGCCTGGGCTTTCATGATCATTTTGGTTGAATCTTATAATTTAGTTATTCTGTGCTATTCTTGCAGAGAAATGACAACAGGAATCAAGTAAGTTGGCATTGAAAAAAGAATGCAAAATTGAAGTATATAGTCATGTCTTCTTCTCTATGAATTTGACCAAATGACCCAAACCCTTAGTTGTATGCTTTTTCTTTGGACTGAGTTTTTCCCCTGAAGTTTTTCTTGACTGAGTTTGTTGACTGAGTTGACTGAGTTCTTCCCTTTTCCCCAATTGTGAGAAACAAGTAAGTAAATATTGGTTGAACCAATGCTTTGGTAAAGTTGGCTGGTGACTAAACTTGTAACTTATGCTGCCAAACTATCACATCCTTCATCCCTTCAGGATGCTCCATGTATGTATAGGTGCAGCACCCCCCTAAAAGAGAAGGTGATACTAAAAAACAATCTCAGCTTTAGACCTTAGACTTTTATTGGTTCTTACTTTCTTGAAACTTCCTCTGTGCATAGTCTGTGATGATCCCAATGGATTTGAGATATTTCTTCCAAATTATTTAATTGTGGATTGAAGGATCTCAGTGGTTTAGGCCCTTCTCTGTGTGTGCATCTCTGAGAGATTCTCTAAAATAGTCTTTCAGTCCAATATGATTGGCAAGGGACTTGGAGGACCTCCTACAAGGTAGAATGAATGTTTTGCTAAAATTTGCCATAAGAGGTTCAGAACTTGCTGAGTTTGAGTCAATCGCCCAGGATTGGGTACATTGGAGGACACTGATCTGAGTCTGCTTGGATTATGATCCCCTTAAGTTGGGATGGGTAGTTTTGAAATGAATGAATTAATGAAGTTTTTAAAAACTCAGTTTGAAGAATGAATTCTAATACATGTTAGATATGACCCACTTGATGTGCAACCTATGAAAGGTATGTTTCCTTCAGCAAATGTAACTCACTGTTCAACTTCTTTTGAATAGTTGTTCATAGTCCTGCTTCTCTAATATAAATTTGAGTGATATTGACCATATTTGGTGACTGAATGGCTTTCAAGTGAAACCTGGGAGATGCAGGATCAAGTCTAATTAGCAGCAGGCTCCTTCTCTACTGACAGGTGGTCTACCTGCCTTCATGAGGAGTGTCTCCTTATTGTGGAGTAACTGACGCATCGCTCAGTGTTGTGTGATTTAGGTGATAAGAGGTGTAATACACCTTTAAAATCTCTTGTGTCTATCATGAGCCTTGCCAACCTGTGAGCTGCCACTAAGACATCCTCCCCTATGACCAAGGAGGTGCTTCCCTACCTGAGTGACTGCAATCTTGGTGGTAGTGCTGGTGCCTAGTATGCATGCCCTTCCTCTATGCATGGTAGTTAAAATTTAGTAAAATTAATTAATTTTACTGAATTTCTATCACAATAGATCACATCTGTTGTCATATGTGCCTACTGTGTATCTTGCCTTTTTTATTAAAAAAAAGGATTTAAGTGAATTTCAACAAGTTTCTTAGGCTGCAAGAAGAGAAAATATTCATTAATTAACCCTTTGTGGTGCTAAGTTGAGCTGGGTGCACCATCAGTTGTAGCATTAAAAAAAAAAAAGGACCACAAAGGGTTAAAAGTCTGGGTTTCTTTGCCATACCTTGCTGTAGGGATGGATACAGGGGGGGGACGGGGGGGCGACCGTCCCCCTATGGCCAGGTTAGCATTTGATTTATTTATTAAAAATAGCATCTGCATTAAATTTTATTGGAGCCATTGAAATAGGTACTCAAGTTCTTAACCCAGGCGAAAAATAAAAGAAGCGAAAGGACGAGGAATGGTGGTAAGCAGGAACTTGGGAACCACCCCCCCCCCTATAAAAAATTTCTGTATCTGTCCCTGCCTTGCTGATGGACATCATCAATGCTACCTCCCATTCCACTTATACATCTAAGTACCAATATTTTTTGGTAGTGGAGCCGCAACAGGAACAGGAGGAAGAATAAGAGATGTTCAAGCAATTGGGAGGGGTGGTCATGTCATTGCTGGCACTGCTGGCTATTGCTTTGGGAATCTTCATATACCTGGTAAGAATTTTTTACTTTTATATTTCACTTTTAGGTTCTATCCAATTTAGCATGGGTTTCATTTTCCTTTGTTCAGGTTACCCTCTTGATTGGGAAGATTCAAATTGGGAATATCCCCCAAACTTTGCATCCCCACTTGATGTGGCCATTCAAGCTAGTAATGGAGCTTCAGATTATGGAAACAAATTTGGGGAGCCAGTTATTGCTGGATTTACCCGCTCATTTGGGATGATCCTCCCAGATTCACAACGGCGGGAATGGATCAAACCCATCATGTTTAGTGGAGGCATTGGGAGTGTTGATGCTGAATTTGTCTTCAAAGTTCCACCATCCAAAGGTTCTCTCTCCTTGTTTTAACCCTGTAACTACCAGAACCCGGATGGTCTTATGTTTAACTCTGTTTCATCTCTTCATTCCCAAAGAATCTCTTCAAAATACTTTTGCCAAATTACTATCACAACACTAAGTACCAGACTTTTACAGTGCAGCCAAAACAAATGGTTAAATTATTGTCTCAGGATCCTTTGGACCTACAACAGTAGTTACAGATTCAAGTAGGGTATCTTTCAGTCTTTTTTCCTGACTTTTTTCAGTGTTGATGTGGCCTGGTCTCAGTACCTTGCTTTCTTTTTCTTTTGAGTTGTGCATCAAACTCCTACCATGTGTATCATGTGCTATATAGGCATGGCTGTAGTGAAGCTTGGGGGCCCTGTGTACAGAATTGGTGTTGGTGGAGGCTCAGCCAGCTCGATTCAGGTTTAATGCTGTTTACTTGCATTTTGCTTTGCTTTATTGTCAATATGCCTTCAGCTCATGAGATTTATAAATTTTCTACATCCAACTGTGGAGTTGGTTAAAATTCAGATTTTCATGACCTTAGGTCCAAGGAGAGAATGCAGCTGAGCTTGATTATGGCGCTGTACAACGTGGAGACCCTGAGATGGAACAGAAACTTAATCGTGTCATTCGAGCATGTCTTGAGCTCCCTCAGAACCCCATTCTCAGCATTCATGATCAAGGTGCTGGAGGAAATGGTATGTTATTATAAGGCACAGTGGTGCTAGACATATGTATCATGATGGAATCCAACCCTTTGTGCCTTTCCTATACTACTTCCCAACCTCACAACTTGTGCATGATTGCACAGGTTCTCTGAAACTGTCTCACCTGCCATCTCCAAGGTCTCGGAATATTCCAAGTTTCACCAATATATTTCCAATTACCATGGATATTTGGAAGTACTTTTGATTCAAGATCTACCTGTTCTGGTTTTAGGTGATTGAACATCCTATTACAAAATCACTGACAAATGAGGTATTGATATGCTCATTATGTTCCAAAGGTATGCCTTTTGGTGTCACAAATGGTGAGCAAGTCCTAGCAATACTGAATGTACTTTGTGAGGCATTGAATGTATCTTATGAATTTGTGAACTAGAGTAAAGTTATGATCACATATAGGAAAATTTGAAGCATGAGTAAGAATCACTTTCAGAAAAAGCCTGGGCCATGGTTTAGAACACTTTTTTGTCTTTTTTTCCAAGTTATTTATGTCCAGATGTTGTACTTCCTTGCTTTCAAGGATGTAATACCCAGCAATTCTTACATTGTTTTGTAGTTATAAGGTTTAGACTTCCATTATTCACTAAACCCAAGTTACTCAAAGTTGCACAATTCCTGGACTGCCAATCACCAGTGCCATATGTGTATTTCAATAGGAAATGTGCTGAAGGAGATCAGCGACCCAGCTGGAGCACTACTGAACGCTGACAGATTCACACTTGGAGACTCTAGCATTTCAATACTAGAGCTGTGGGGTGCAGAGTATCAGGAGAGCAATGCCATCCTCTGTCATGAAGGGGATCTTGCATTGCTTCAAGACATCTGTATACGTGAGCAGTGTCCTCTGGACCATGTTGGAGGTATCACTGGAGATGGAAAGGTGAACACTCTTTGACTTTGTGCTCACATTCTCCAGATTGCATTAGCTGAAGGCAGAACTTATTCTGTTTTCAGGTCTGTCTGAGAGAGGGAGATGGGAAATGCCCTGTTGATCTCAACCTAGAGTTGGTGCTTGGGAAAATGCCTCAAAAGGTCTGAACCCTTTTGCATTGAGTTGGTTGCTCTGAGGTGGTTGGTCATGTTACCTTATTCTTCCTATTCATTTTTGTAAATTGGAGGTAATGATTCCTGTTTGTTAGGGAAATACCTTTATGCCTACTCTGGATTTGACTACCTTTTTTTTTTTTTTTAAGTCAATATGAAATTGTTCAGGGTTTTGATGTGAGAACATTGGGTACAGCACTGCCTCATAAGAAAAGAATCGGAGGTATAAGATCATGTAAATTGTGAAATTTCAGCTTGAAAATGCATAAGGTGTAGTTGAGCAAGGACCCATGTCTGATCAGAATCTTCCTCTAGGGAATGACATGCTCTATTGTTACCTCATCATATCATGTCATGAAAGAATGATGAGGGGTTAGGATGTTCCACATTTCCATTTTTTCTGAAGCTCTTGACTTTTTAAGGGAAATTGTTTGCTCACAGGTCATTTGTCTTTGATGGTCTCATAAGGCCTACTAAACTACTTTTTGATTTTAACTAGAGTCAAAATTATGGGCTAATTATGTACATTTTGTTACAGTGAATGGTTGTCAGAAAACTAGGACTTCAGTCTGCAAGATAACTATGTTTCATGTAACTATAATTGGAAGGGGGAATGGGATGGGAAAGTACTGTACTTTTCAATGCTTTCCCAAAGAAAGTTGTTTTTCTTTCCTATCTGTTCTTTTCCCAGGAAAGCCATGCTATTGTTAAATTTTTATTAAGGTTTTTCCATGGTTTGCATCTAGGAATGAGCAGCTTGAGTCTAGTAACTCTAATGGGACCTCAGACCCCTTTCCATTTTCAATTTCTGATCTCTTTGGAATCACAGTTCACAGCTTTGCTCTGGTGGAAGGATTTTGTGTAAACTTTCAAAATTTTATGGGAAGTATTCAAATATACCAGGTGGCCCAAAAAAAGTGAGGCCACTGCAAATTTTTACATGTACATATTAAGAAAATTCCAAATATCACAAAAACAGTTTGACAAAGCCTATCATTCAGTGTCATTCACACAAGCATGTGATATTCGATGTGTCCTCCCTGCTGTTGTACTACACACTCAAGATGGTGGTGCCACTTGTTAATGCTGCAGTCAATGAAACGTTGTGACAGTTGGCCTCACTTTTTTTTGGACCACCCAGTATGTGCAGTGCATATTTCATGAAAATACCTACAGTGAGAGTTGAGATAAATCAGTTAAAAGCAGTGGTAACTCATAATCTACAACAGTTGTTGGCAGTGCCTACTGTGTCATAGTAGCTACTATTCCTGTAGATTGATGACCCAGCTGGTTAAAAGTCTGGTTTTTTTTTTTGGCCATTCCCTAAAAACTCTACCAATATGGTAGAAGGAAAAAGGACAATCATTTCTTTGACTTCTTTTTGCTGCAAGGTGTTCAACCTGGATTCTCGTCCAACTTTGCTGGGACCCCTGAGTCTCCCTATGCAGCTAAAGACCTTGGAGGCATTGGGCTTAGTCTTACGTCTTCCATCAGTGTGCAGCAAGCGATTTCTCACCAACAAAGTGGATCGTTCAGTGACTGGCCTGGTTGCACAACAGCAATGCACTGGACCATTCCACATTCCACTGGCTGATATGGGTGTCATCGCTCTCTCTTACTCTGACCTGGTCTGTCTTTTAAACTAATAGATTTTGATATAGTGTTTTGAATTTTTATGCTGTCCCTTTTTCTTCAGAAAGGAGCAGCCACTGCCATAGGAGAGCAGCCTATAAAGTGCCTTGTGGATCCAGAAGCTGGAGCTAGAATGTCCCTGGGAGAGGCCCTGAGTAATCTTGTTTTTGCTCCCATCACTTCTCTTCAGGTCATGATCAGTTCTTGATGTTTAGTTTTGTTCATAAGCTTTTTGCAACTGTAACACATTTTTTTCTGAATGTTTTCCAAGAAACTCATTTACAAAAGGCAGAATCTTTTTTTTTGCCATTGAAATATTCTATATGATGATGTTGATACAGGATGTAAAATGCAGTGGGAACTGGATGTGGGCAGCAAAACTAGAAGGTGAAGGAGCTAACATGTATCAAGCTTGTAGAGCATTGTGTGGGCTAATGGCAGAACTGGGTGTTGCCATAGATGGTGGGAAGGATTCCCTAAGCATGGCAGCACGTGTGAATGACTCTGTTGTCAAAGCCCCTGGTCAGCTTTCATCTGTCCTCCCTTATCTTCATCTGTAAGCCTGTCTCTCAAGTAATGTTTATTTATATCTGCAGGTTCAATAGTAGTCTCAGCTTATGCACCTTGCCCTCACATCGACCATGTCATCACTCCAGATCTCAAAAGCCCCATTCAGGGCCAAACAGGGCATCTCATTTTAGTAAGGCCTCAGAAGGATGAGATGAATTGTAGATTGGGTGGCTCTGCCCTGGCTCAGTGCTTCAAACAGGTTGGTGATGCCATCCCTGATGTTGACTGTCCTGCTGCCCTCAGACAGGCCTTTTCTGTCACACAGAAGTTGATCAAAGGTGAGAGTATATTGGTCACATTTCATATTCCCTCATTCCTCTTAATTCTTTGTTAAGCATGTCCAAGTTTTCTTCATTTTTGGCCTTAATACTTCTTGTGGCCAGGAAACATTGTATATTTTCCCCAGAGTTGTGAATTTCAGCTAAGTTCTCTTTGGATTGCAGTTATGAATGAGATATGGTGTGGACTCTCAATGCAGCCTCTGATACATTGAGCATAATGCATTATATTATTATCATTCACCCAATTTTCTCTAGGTTGCTGTTTCAGGCCATTACATTGCTGCACTTCACAAATCACATTTTGACAAAACATGAAATTCAGCCCTTTAGACAAAAAATTTAGACAAAGTATTGATATGAAAATAATCAAAATAAGACAAAACCATAAATGAGGGCAGCTGTGAGCAGCATTACAACAGTACTCTCCAATTAGTTTTATTGCACTTCTTTTATGCACAGAATAAAATCATGACATGATAATTTTGTTTGGAATCTCCTTTAAATCTGTTAGGTGTCAAATTGTATTACACATTGGAATGTAACAACCTGATTTGATACTGCATGTGACTTCTTCCTTTTCACTTGCAGAGGGATTGATACTCTCAGGTCATGATGTGAGTGATGGAGGGCTCATCACCTGCCTCCTTGAAATGGCCTTTGCTGGATACTCTGGCTTTGCAGTTGACATTCCTTGCTTCTCCAATTCCACAATAGATGTCCTTTTCTCAGAAGAACTTTCTTGGGTGTTGGAGGTTTCTTCACAGGATGAAGAACAAGTTCTTGAACAATTCCAAAGGGCTAATGTGCCGGTGTTCCCTATTGGCAAGACAATGGATTTTGGAAAGAACTCACATGTTAGTTATTGGCAGTATGAGCCTTATGTCATGAAAGGAAAATGAGCAGTTTGCAGTGTAGGAGGTGATGAATTACTTGCTTCAGGTGAAGGTGACAGTGGATTCAGAATTAGTCTTGGATGTTCCCATGGTGGAACTGTTGAAAATCTGGGAAGAGACCAGCTATCAACTTGAAAGGCTGCAATGCAATCCCCTCTGTGCCGATGCAGAATACCAATCCCATGCTGAACGGGAGCTGCCTGCTTATAATCTTACCTTCACTGCTTGCCACATTTCTCCTGGTAGAATGAAATTTCTCTCTTCTTATGGCATTACATTCAGAGTTGAGTTCTCATAACTATAGTACTGGTATATGATTCAATTGATAGGTGCTAGGGTCCCTAAGGTGGCTGTGATCAGAGAACAAGGCAGCAATGGTGACAGGGAGCTTAGTATGGCTTTTCTCATGGAAGGATTTGAAGTTTGGGACGTGACAACCTTTGACCTGATTGAAGGTCATGTGACCCTTGACCATTTCCATGGTCTTGCATTCCCTGGAGGATTCAGCTATGCAGGTATTCTTGTTTCCCCTCATATACCAGTCATACTTAGTGTCTTGGGAGACTATGTATTTGCTTTGTGTGCTTTTTATTCATTATGGGAGCCAAATATTAAGATTTCTCAATTCCCTACAATACCATTCTCCTTATCTGTTTGATTTTTATTGCTTTGTTTTGATGTGGGATCTGAATACATTTTAGATGTGCTTGGGTCAGCCAAGGGTTGGGCAGCATCCCTGATGCTTCACAGCAATGTCAAGGCCCAGCTGGACCAGTTTTTCTGCCAAGAAGATAAATTCAGCTTGGGGATTTGCAATGGATGCCAACTCATGGCTATGCTGGGCTGGCTCAGTTCATCTCCTCAAGGTTCTCATTCTCTGATATGCCTCAACCTTCTTCCAATCAAAGTTATCCAAAGTTGATAAGTCTTGCATTAATTGCATTGGACTAGATATGTGGAAACTGAGATTGGGTAGTAATGATTTTTATATTGCTTTTCCCACAAAGTACTGAGTTCCTAACATATTGTATTTTCTCAAAAAAGAAAGTAACTCTTTTGTTCCCCATTACTCTTCCCTAATTGCATTTTAATTTGAGATGGCCAAACAAATTTAAACTCTAACTAAATTAAAAAAAGTTTTTAGGTTTGAAATAAATAATGGCCATGGTCACTGGGAGAGGGAAAAATTTAGTTCAGCAAATTGTGAATTAGCCCATTGTCATGACATTAGGAAGGAGAGGTCTTGGAAACCAACACAATATTGGATGAGTCCCTTTGATCACTTAGATTTTATAGGTAATCAGAGCTAAAACAAAAAATTAAAAACAGATGGAAATAGAGATAACAGACAGGAATATGAAACATGGTTCACACAAACAACTTGAAGTGAAAGGTGATGTGCTCCATCAGGGAGACTTATTTCCTGAATTCATTATGGTTTCATGTTGAATTTTGGTTGATTCAGCCCAAAGTAAAAGTGAAAACTCATTTTTAGTTTTATTCAGGTTTGAGACCTTCAATCTGCTTCTGGTTAGGTACCAAAAATTGAACTCAAGTACACAAAATGAATTAGTATGAAAAATAACCATAATTAGTTACTTTTTGAAAAGTAATTAGCAACTATTGCTGATTTTGATTTTTCTGTGATAATTTGAAACTGAAATTAGGTAGACCTACTTGTAAGAAGTAACTTCCCCAACTCCAAAGGAAAGATATTGAAGTATTCAGACTTAAACAGAATTGGTTACTATGAAGTTTCATCCATTTCAGGGTCCTTGATTTGTTTTTGAACTTTGGCATTTTTGTCCTGTCCTCAGGTGGAAGGGAGGGACCAGAGGTACTATTGAAGGAGAATGTGTCTGGAAGATTTGAGTCTCGATTTGTATCTGTACGAATTGAGAAGAGTCCCTCTGTTCTCCTTCAGGGCATGGAGGGTAGCATTTTGGGTGTCTGGGTTGCTCATGGAGAAGGTATTGTATCATGTCCACTTTCATCACATGGATATTAGATCTTCCAATATCTGTGGTTCTTTCATTTATGAAAAAACATCCTTTTCCTTGGAATTCACTGTCACTACCTTGAAAGGGTGGTTTCAATGAGAAGGATTTTAACTTTCAGGGTAGGTTTTCTCAATTTTGCACAGTAGTTTAAAATGCACTTTGAAAAACTTTTTGGTCATGCATTCTCTCTGTATAGGTGTATAAAATTATTCAAAAAAACATTGTCATTTTTTATACATTTTTCTTAAACGTTAGTTCCACCATGCAATGAAATATATGGGAGTCTGATTTCCTTCTATCCAAGCTGACCATTTTCTGAGAAAAGAGCCTAAAAGGGTTTTTGAGCAGAGGCACAAATGGAAAATTCTTTTCTGTAGGACGGTTCACATTCAGAGACCCTTTGGGAAAAGGCAAATTGGGTAAGTGCATTGCACTTCGGTACACTGATGACTCAGGGAGGCCAACTGAGTGCTACCCAATGAATCCCAATGGCAGTCCAGGTACCCTAAGATTCTCTCATTCAAAACCAAGGAAGACAATATTTAATAAACCTTTGCCCTTTGATGTAGGTGGAGTGGGAGGAATGTGTAGTCCATGTGGGAGGCATCTGGCCCTCATGCCACATCCTGAGAGGTGCATCCAGTTTTGGCAATGGCCTTGGATCCCACCAACATGGGACACAGCTGCTCCTTCACCATGGAGACGGCTTTTTCAGAATGCCTTCATTTGGTCTTCCAAGCACCTCCAAGACTTTCCTTAAGCAACATCTGGGCCCATATTCTTCTAGATAGTTGTTTTTCTTCTTCAAATATCATCCCTCAATTATACATATGTATGCATTCTCTTTGTAATGAGTCAATGGGGAGATGCTGCATGCAGAATTGACTGATCTCATTCTCCAAGGTATTGTATGAGTTACCATTAGACACTCATGAAGAGATAGTTCTTCCTGTCTCATGAAATCAAAATGCTATTTCCTTACTATTGAAAAAATGCTAAGGCATGAGTGAGTCATTTTGATCTCCACAGGCCTCAACTTGATATTTTCATTTATTTTTCTATGTTCCTGCACACTGCATGATGAGGTGAACCTCAGTGCCATTTGTTGATGTATGGAATCTCTGCTTAGTGCAATAAGCTCTGTGATGGAAATTCTCTTCATTTGTACTTGTACCCTTTTTGGAGCTGGAGGAGAATAAAGTTGAATGCAGCATGCGGATTTTTTTAAAGTGCAGATGTATTGTTAAAATTGAGAACATCATGGAGACTTAGACATTAGAAGTCTTGTTGAGTATGACATCAGGCAAGCTGGAAGATATCAGCTGGTAACAAGCCAATCAGATGCATTCCTAAATTGTTTCATTCTTTTTGGGATTCCTCAAATATCTGCTGTGCTATCTCTCAATAATAATACAAATTGTGAAAATGCATTCTACAGATGGACAGTTGCTTTAAATCATGTGACAAAGTTTCCGTGTTATCTGACTCCTACCATTCCAATTATCCCAAAGGACTTCTTCCAAGAAAGCCAATTCTTCCATCATGACTCCATTCATTGGGCAAGGTGGGGTAAAATGGAACAAAATTTTTCTGCAGACTTCTGGGCATACTTTATTTCCTGCTCAAATAAGCAAGATATTGTGTTCACGTATTGTTTGTTGGAAAACAAGAGACATCTAGTGACGCTGAAGAGCTCCACGACTCCAATGTCCTTTGGTGATATATTCAAATATCGGAACCCTGTCTCATTTTACTCCACCTTACCCTACTTAGTGAGTGCAATGCGAGACGGGTAGTAAGCGAAGTTCAAGGACAAACAAGATGTTTGGCATGCCTTTATGATGCACCAAACGTAGCATAAAACAGTCACTAGAATAGTTTCCGTGAAATTATTTCAAATCAGAAGCCTCCATACCAGAGAATTTATCGATATCAATGAAAGGGTTTATTTAAGAGACGGTCAAAACGTTGAGCAACTTCTCAAAGCATACCAAAGGAAAAAAAAAAAAGAAGTTACATTTTATTAAACAAAAAAATTGCATAAAATATAAATTGCATAACATTTGTTGGTGGATAGGATCCAGCACATTCCTTGTGGTGGATGGGGGCCACAAGAAGTCAAAGCCTCTTCCAATCGACTTCTGACAAGTTGCTTTGATAACGTGGAGCACGATAGGGTTTTCAAATCGATAGCTACAGCAGAACGAAGGGGAAACAGTCCAAGTTGCGGAATGTAGCGAATGGAAAACGTTAGGCGTCGATGTCTGTTGCTATAAGTAACGAGACAGTAGTTGGATTCGCTTCCACCAAAAACGTTTACCACGCTTAACTACGACTTTAGCAGATAATGAATTTTTGGGCTGACCATTGACCATCAACGTTCATCATCTGTCACAGTCCAATTCTCGCAAAATCGGCAATGCCCTTTGTAAAAATGAGTTTTGTGCATCGTGATCATAAGTAGTCACAAGCGTGGCTCTCACTGTTTCACAAAGTTTCTATTCTGCATATGCCATTGCGACAATTTCTCCCGGTTTTCACTTGTTGCTGGATAAATTCAAGGAATCGACCAATTTAATTACGAAACTTTCAGGTATGGTTATAGGTTGCAAGGACTTCAATCTGAACGAGAAAAAAAATGAGTTGAGAAACGGAAATACTCTGGTATAAGTTCATTTGTTGGACTTTTTTTTATTATAAGCCCTCGTATGTGAAACTGTCGAATCGAAGATCTTGCCGTGGAAATATGCTCTTTCTGAGGTTCAACATGTCCCTATGCTGCCATGAGCCCAGGTTGAACATTAAAAAAAATTAGATGAAGAAGGAAAAGGATTTATGGATGCCAGCTATTCCGCTACCTACTCTTATAACTAGCATGATGCTGTCGACCCCTCCTTTTCCACCATATTCCCATTCCCATACACTCAGTCTCCAACGAAATCTCTTTTTTCTTGCTTGGAATCAGTTGTTTAGATTGGCTCCATGGATTGATGGAGTTCGCTGTCAATGCCGTCATCCACGGCGACTTTCCCGTTCTCCATCTCCCTTTTCCCTTCGCACCACGCTAATGGAAGGAATCTTGGGGAAAACAGAATTAAGAACCCAGCATTATTTCGAAACTCACAAAGCGGTCATGGAGTAACGAGTAGGTAGGGCGGCAGAACTTCAAAAACCTCGTCAAAGGCCATGCGAGGTCACGAAAGCGAGGGGAACGTTTCAGAATCAACGGTACGGCAAGGTGATGATCAGCCAACTCGATCTGACGCACATGTAGAAACTTTTGGGGTATCGTCACTTGTATTCTGCACCATCTCCAGGGAAGAAGGTTGGCTGCACAGCCGGCCTCGTTTTCTTTCCGCTTCGGTAATTCATTTCCTTGCTCAAACCGAGGAAAGAAACTAGATGAAATTAGTATGTAAAGTGATTTTCATAGTAGGATTCCGAGTGACATCATGAGGCACCAACCAATCAGGCAACGCGTTTCTTTCAGGAAGTCCGCCATTTTGAATTAGTCAACCCGCCTCCTTTGAACCGGCAGCATCTCCTTCCACTTTCTGTCCCGCACCATTTCTCTCTCTCTCAAACGTAGGCCTACTGGATGGAATTCCAGTGCATTTTTAGAAGGCCTTTTTATGTCTATGATTTTAAGGAACGAGTACTTCTAGCAATAGTTGTCAAATTAGTATTTCCACTCGTTCACTCGCAGAACCTTTGTCCCTTGTATTATCTCTTTAGTCTAGGGCTGTACCGATGCCCACATTGACCGGTGGGCCGATTGCCGATTTTTTCCTCAAAAGCATCAGCCGGTGCCAGTGCCGATTATGGCCTGTAGATGAAATTGCCTACAAATTCTTGTAGGCCTAATTGGAAGCCATGTGATACTTATCAGTAGGTTCCCTTGAAACGATAGGGTCCATTTTGTGTCCTGTTCAGCCTGTTTGTCTCTCTATACTTTGTTATCCATTGCTGCTGTTGAGAGCATTTAGTGACACAACCCTTGCAAAAGCATGACGTAAATGGAGATGCAATGATTATCCGTTCTTTACAGCTACCTTCTTCCACTGGTTCCTATAATCTGGCTGGAATATAATCCGATCGATATTTTTGTCTGTAAGAGGCTGGTAGCAGTGGCTTTCAGTGAGACAGGAGGGTCGGCGCCTAGCCGCATTCACACCCTCACATAATTTTTTCCCCCCGCTTTGCCCGTCCTTTGGACACCGGCGCTGGCACCGGCGCCATAGGCCGATGGCCGATGGAGCCGATACCGGTGTTAACCGATACATTGGTACAGCCCTACTACTGTATATTCACAACACTTTCATGTTCACTTTGCTGATTGAGGTTCTTGTATATTTGCATATGTGCAGCTATTCATTAACATATAACTCGGTGAAGATTCGTTTCTGAATTCTTAGGAAGAAGAGAGTACTACCTGCTAAGAATGGAGACAATGAAGAAAAAGAGCAGGAGTGGGAAATGTGTACCGATATGTGGTCCTCCCTCACCCACGACCCGCAGCCTCACCAGCAACTTCGAGAGCCTTCCGAGAGATGTCCAATTCCTGATTTTGGCCAACTTGTCGCGTAGGTCCAGCTTAGGCCATCTTAATACGCAATCCCTCAGAGCCGGTCGATGAATAGAAGTGCAAACCTAGGCTATCTAACCCTGAGATCCTCATGTATATTAATGGATTTGATCCCGGGCTGTAGCCTTATTTCAGCCTGTCATCCATCAACCGATCCTCGAATGACTTCATTACGATTAGTCCAATGTGGAAAGACGCCTTCTCTTTCAGTGCCAGATCTGACATCCATGATGAAGATGTCGGAGCAGACGAAGAGCGTCGTGGATGACTGGCTGCACAGCAGCACTGCCATCCAGCACCTCTTACCCCAGATCTCTCGCTTCGGCTACCGACTCTTCCCTCTTCTCTCCCATGTAAGCCATGAATTTTCTCAGGAATCGCGAAAGCCGCAGACACACGGACTAGCCCTTCACTCCACCTCTTGAGAGACATTGGGAATATGCCAGAGGTTTACGGTTGTTTTGTGGACCTCGGAAAGGCATACAACCGTGTACTTCGGAGGATGTTGTGGGGAGTGCTGCAGGAATTTTGGGATTAACGGTTAGCTACTGTGGGCCATACAATCTCATACAGGGATTGCAGGAGTTGCGATCGAGTGTGCGAGATGAGTTCGGACTCTTTTTCGGTACATATTGGACTCCGACGGGGTTGCGTTCTCTCTCCTTTCCTGTTCTTCGTGTACATGGATTGGATCTGTAGGCGTAGCCCAGGTCTCGAAGGTATCAGCATCGGAGGTATCGAAGTAAAGATACTCTTTACTTCTCCACCTTCACCTATAGCCAATAATGACCGAAAGGATCAGGTCGTGGATACAAGCTGTCGAAATGAGGTTCTTGCGGCGGGTGGTCGGTGTCCCGCGTCGTGGTGGATGCAGAGTGCCTCCAATCAAGTTCCCCTCCTATTCGTAAAGCGCACTATCTCATTCCGATAACTAGGCAGACCATATTGACTGAGCAATTACTTGGAAACTCATTTAGTTGGAACGACATAGGCGCGTACTTATAAAACCACGTCATGCAAGCGGATTGAGGAAGTTCACATTAGCGTCAAGTTGAGAAAGGTTACATGGAGCTTCCTTAATGCGAATCAAAAGCTAATGCAACTTTATATAGCAAATGCAGAGTTCTAGGGAGCTCTTGCTGTTACCGCTATACAGCTACGGCTTCACCGTAAGC